CACCACGAGCAAAGTATCACGCCCAAGTCCAGAGGTCACCGGTTGTGCAGCATAAGGAAGGTTCTCCATTTCTCTAGCAGCAGTGGGTTTCGAAATAGACCACTTGACCCTCCAGCTGTATGAGCCTGGGCAAGTTACTTAACGACCCTATGCATCATTTTGCCCATCTGTTCAATGGGTTTAACTCAAGTGCACACCTCTCGGGGTTGTTGTGAGTGTTAAATGAGAGATGTCTGGAAAGCAGTTAGCACAGCGGAACACACACCAAGCTTTCAAAAGTGTCTGCTGGTAGTAATCACAGTAGCTGTGGCCATATGAGGAGGGGGTGTCCCTGTCCAGAATCGAATGTGATCGAACAAACTAAGCTTTAGTAAGCTACATTCCAACCGGAAAATCACCTGATATAATCCAGTCCTGTACCAGGCACTCAGACCAGGTAACTGCTTACTGCGTCTTCCACCAGATGGGTAGTTCCGTGGGCCTCGGTCACTCCTGTGTCCCAGCATTTTAACGTGGAGAGCAGCATACAGGAGATGGTAATAAATCTTGCAGCCACACAGAACTAGTTCAATATCTGTAAGTACATTTTATCTTGGCTACTAGACTACAAGCTCCTTAAGAGCTAGCATCACGTCTTGCACTAGTAAAGATTAAATGAGCGATGCAAAAAATACCAAACCGAGAATCAGGTTGCTTAGACCCAGCTCAGTCACTGGGTTATTCTGGAGGATGAGGGAGGGCAGATGATGTTGAAGATGATCCTTGATTTGGGTTTCAGAAGACTGAAATATGGGGCATTTCAGGCAACCCCGGAGAAGTCCCTTAACGCTTCTATGCTTTATTTTTCCCATCTCCGGGATGAGAAGTCTGCACCATGTGTTGGCCAACGCATCTTACTCCCTGAAACTGGGTTCGGGTCTTCAGTGCAACATGGTACCTGAGCCCCTGCAGATGACAGCCATCTGGCTCAGCAGGCCAGCTTACAATATGATAGCACCCCTCATTTGCAGTCTTCCAGCACCAGGCAAGGAGTAACTTTGGGCCAGTGCTTAAAACACCCATTTTTGGTCAAATCAGTTCATTTGCAGAGTGAGGACGCCCCATCACCCAAGCTAGAGCTCTGGTACCCCCAGGCACACCAATGGCAAACTGGGGGCACACTCTGCCCACTGGTCCTGCACCTCCCATGTCAGACCCCTCCCAGAGACCTCACCTCCTGTTCATACCGCACAGCATACTGCTCACAAGAGATACTTGGTGCAGAGGGAAAGTTGAACTTGGCCCTTGGTGGGGAGGTGATCACATGACACCGCTCCTCAAAATGTTGTTTGTTTTTGGGTTTGGGTTTTATGGCAATAGTTTGCACAGCCTGAAGGTCCAGGCAGTTTGGCTCAAAGAAAATGCATGCCATGTTATGCCACAGGGGCTCCACTCAACAACGGCCCGGCCCAAAACTGTATCAAAACAAAAGTTGTGCAAGAAACAAAGCCCAAATTCAAGGCTTTAGAAATGCATTCAGATCCTATCAGAATCTGGCTGATGGTCTTGGCTTCTTATGGTTGCACTTTTCTGCGAACCTCACATTCCCTAATTAACCTAAAAAGTGGGTTCTTTCCCTACCATTCTCTGAGTGATAGCATGCTGATTTTCCAATGCACCATGTCTCTCTGATGGTCTTAAAAATCTAAGGGAAGGTCTACGTGAGATGAGAAAAAAAATTCTGCTAAAAGAAGGAACTAAACCAGCTAATTTCGCCTCTTGAGGCTTTCTATCAATTATTTTATTTAATTATTACACAAGTCCACGAAACTGGTACTATCGGTAGCCCATTTTACAGATGAGGAAGCTGAGGTTTCAAAAAGTTACAGAGCACGCACCAACTCACGAAGCTAGTGAAAGGTTGGGATTTGAATGTCCGCCAGGACTCTTAGCCCTTCTGCAAGAGTGCTTCCTTGTGGGGTGTGTTAATCTCTGGAACAAGCCACTTGGAGTCCTTGTGTCACGGACACCCTCCGGCAGTGGCCACAAACCACATTTGGGAATTCGGAGAGGAGTGTGCCTGGACTAGGCCAGGCCGAGGGCCACTCCAAGCTCCTGATCCTGCAACTCTCTTCAGAAGTGGCTTTCACAGAACACAGAAGATGATGCTGCATGGTGCTCTGTTTGATTCAGAAGGCCCTTCCAGATGTACAATTAAAAGCCACAACATTTTCATTTTTAAACACTTCTCTGCCTCTGAGCTGCTTTCAACGGGAGTGCTGATCCCACAGCATCTCATGCCCGGGACACCAGCCACCAGCGTTGGCAAAGCGGCTTAAAACCCCTGCTCCTCTTGAACGGTGCCATATAAGACATGGCAATGAAAAAGACAAATGACATGAAAACGTCACTTTGGAATTCTACCCAAAGCCCGAAAAGTCAGACCTGAGCGAGTGCTCTCTCGATTCTCCTCCACCACACCCCGAAAGCAAGTTGTAGCTATTCACTGCATCCTTAGAACCAGAAGAAAACTCCCAAGTTCATACTTCAGATGACAATGTCTTGCTGCTCTTGACAGATTCTGAGTCACCAAGTGTTGTACAGGGTAGAACGACTTGCTGACCAATTTTTTTGTGTGGGTTTGTTTTATTTTCTGTTCAGCCAGGCACAGGGAATTTTCCACCTGACAATTCCTGTTTCTCACTTAAGTTCTTACACCATCTGTGAGCACTGTGCTCAGCAGGGGGAGGACTCAAGGCCAAGGAGGGCTTCCCATCACCAAACCTCAGTTTTCCCATCTGGTTAATGCAAGCCTTTCACCAGATGATTCTGCTAAGGTTCTCAGCTTATCTATGGAATAGAAAGCAGTTTGAGGATTGCCAGCTTCTGAGCCTGGATCTGCTACCAGATTCAAAATCTTTACATAATTTTTTAGTAAAACAAGAGATTTGGCTGAAATTAATAGCACAATGGGAAACGACCAGGGCTGGACAATAACAGAGCAGGACTGGAGTCCCCCGGCGGAGAAATGAGCCTCTCCCGTTCTCAGGGCGCCCCCTCGTGGTCCTTCGACTAAATCCCGACGGAATGTTCAGAGTTTCTGCAAATAAAGGGAAAGACACCCACCAAAAGAGAAAGGCAGGCTCCCGTCTACTGATGCAATCCCTTTCACTCTAACCTCGTCTGTGGATCAGACAGCGAGACGAATGCCTGACAGGAAGCCCCAGTGAAGCTCAAAAAGGTGTCTGCCATAGACAAGATTTCATTCTTTCAAACAGTTGGCGGCAGCTCCCCAGCATTCAGGCTTCTGTGTCCCCTGGCAGATCCCAGACACACCCTTGCCACTCAACCTCTCTCAAGCTCACATCCTCAACCTGCAGCTCCGACCGCGTCTGTTTTTCATTATTCTGCTTTCCAACTTCCCAGCGCGATTCTTCAACAGCTATTAAGACAACACGAGCAAGGACCTAGGCTTAGTTCTTGCTTTTTCGACATCCAGCCTGGGGAATATCACCTCAGAAGAAAAGCATGAATGAAGTGCACGTTTCTCAGCCTCTTCTTCCGCAGACCTGAAAGTCTGTTCCTCAAAGGACATGTCTACAACCATCTCCTCTTTAAAACGCTCAGCCTACGAAAAAATGGCACCTGCCCAGAGTGAATTCTTAACTACTTGCTATCAGATTTGTTTATCCGAGACAGCTTTAAAACTACAATGTACAATGTCTCAAATTTCCAATTAACCTACGACAGACTTCTTTTTTAGGCTATAGAATACAACTGGATCAACCCAAACAATGAAGCTTAGGATGAGGGAGTTATCCGGGTATCCAAATATTTGAGAATTCGGGGCTAAACCTTCTGATTGGGGCCCCATTTTCTCCACAGAACGGTCCCTGTACAGATTGAAAAGAAAAATGCCAACATCAACCTACCTACCACTTCATTCAACAGTTCATTTTGCTTTTACCCTGTGGTCATTCGTTAAGTTTATAAGCAACCCTGGGCCCCGAAACACCCCCAAAAGTGCACACGAGGCATACCATAATTAGTTCCTGACTTTGGCCCTAAATCGATTAACATACATCTGATATGCTTCAAATCAAAGAACCATGTTGATTTTCTGCCACACACCACACAAAATCTTTCTGCAACAGTCAGTCACTTTGAACCCAACCCTCTGGCCACAAGCAGTGTGGATTTCAAGGGCCTGTTCCCCAGAAAGGAAAAGGACAACAAGCCAAGTTGGGGACACGGAGAGACCCCAAGGTACTCCAACCGCTTCCAAATGGGGCTGGGACCCTGGCAGGGTTTCAGCTGTCACAAAGAGTGGGGCAGCTGGCCCAGTCCCCTAAAGCAATTCAGCAGCCCTGCAACCAGGACCTGAAGGGCAGTGGGGTCGGCTGCAATTCAGCATCTGTGTGGCTACCCATGCCCTGGGCATTTTAGTCCTCCCCGAAGCGGGAGGTGAACTGTCACAACCCTCAGGCATGCAGTAGTCTTTACTTTTGCTCCCTAACCTTCTGTCTTAAAAAACAGGCGGGAGTCCACCCTCCCTTGCAGCTACAGCAGCACCGGGGTGATGGGGAGTAGGAGTGGGAGGGTGGGGGTCGCCCTCACGTACAGGACACGGGACTCCGGGGACCAGCTCCCCGCTGAGGATGTGGGTCTGTTCGGAGTTAGAGCAATAAAGCATTCCAGGGCTTGGTCTGAATGCGTGCCCGCGAGGGAGACCTCCACGGTCCCAACGTTGCAAAGTGTTTGCAAATCATAAACACTACTTTGCTGCTGGGAGAAAAACCCCCAAAATATGCGCAGACAGGATGTAACAAGTGTTCCGAGAGAGAGACACGCCTGAGTCACGGGGAGCTGGGGAGAGAGTGAGGAGTCTGTCTGGGGGTTCCCGGGAAGCCCCTCTCGGACAAGAGAGTCTCGGAGCCCCAGCCCCCCAGCCGGCGCGCCCTCGGTCCGCAGCACCGTCTGGCCCTCGCCCTGGGGGGCGGGGAGGGGGTTCCCCCACTCACCACTCGACCCGAAAACCTCTCGGTGGCCCTCTTGACTTTGCCGTAGGTGCCTTTGCCCAGGGTCTCCTGCAGCTCGTAGCGGTGCTTCAAGTTGTGCTTGTGGTGATGCCGCTTCACCCCGTGCGGCTTCCTGGGCTCCGGGGCCGCTGCCGCCGCCGCCGCCGCCGCCGCCGCCGCGGGGGCTGCGGTGGCCCCCGCCACCACCTCCGGGGGAGAGCCCGGAGCCCCCGGCCGCAAGTCGGGGCCGTCCCCGGCCGCGGGAGCAGCGGCCCCCTCCATGTCGGAACGCAGGGCGAGCCGGGCTGGAGAGGGCAGGACTGGGCACAGCGTTCGCGGTGTCGGGGTCCCCGCCGAGGAAGCCGGGGCGCGCTCAAGGTCGCCCCCGCAGCATCGGGGAGGCGGCCCGATCCCGCTCGGGCTGCGGCTCGGTCACTGGCGGCGGCGCAGACTGCACATCTGGCGCCCCCGGCGCGCACGGTCCGCGCACCGCCCCCCGGCCGCGGCGAGCTGCGGAGCGTCGGGCGAGGTGGCGGCGGTGGCAGGGGAGGCGGCGGTGTTTGCAGGAGGGAGGGGAGAGGGGTGGCTCCGAGCGCAGGCGGGGGAGTGTTATGTGGGGCGCCGCGCCCCCCGACCCCTCCCCGGGCGGACGCGCAGACGGGGCGGGGGCGGGGGCGCCGAGCTCGGCCGGCCCCCGGGGGAGGGGAGCGAGGGGCGGCGTGGCCGGGGCTTCCCCACCTCCCCGCCGCCACCCGGGGCCCGGGGCCACCCGAGCCGGGAGGGGGATGGGTGCGTGTCGCGACTCGCCCTTTGTGCCGCGCGGGGTAGGCCGCAGTGGCGGCCGGGGGGGGCTTTGTCCTCGCTCGGCCGGGACCCGGACCCGAGGCTTCCAAGCCGGGGCGCCCCCTCCCCGGGCTCGCCCGCCGCAGCTACCGCGGGCCCGCCGTCACCGCCGTCTCCTGCTCCGGCCGCTCGGCCTCCCCGCCTGCTGGCGCCCGCGCGGCGGCGGCGGCGGCCGCGGCGGCTCGCCGAGCCCCGGGGCTGGAGAAGCGGGAGCGCTCCGAGCCAGAGGCCGCCGGGACCCGCTCGCGATCCGGCCGGGGGCGCCACGGGCCCGGGCACCCCTTCATTTTGTTTTAGGTGTCGCCGCGGCCGCCAGGCCGGAGACGGAGGAGAGGCTGGGGGAGGGGAGCAAGGCGGGTGTTGGGTTACAGGCGGTGAGTCACGGCCCCTCCGCCGCAGTGCGCACCCCTCCCGCCCAGCCGGGGCTGGCACCCCGCCTCCGAGGCCCCCTCCTCCGGCTGGGGCGGCTGCGCTCCGCGGAGGACCCCAAGAGGGGCGCCTCGACCCCGGCCCCGCGCCCTCGCCGAGGAAAGGCGGAGGCGGGGAGGAAGAGAGGCCCAGAGGCTGAACCTGGGGTCCCGCCGCCGACTGCCGGACCTCCGACACCAGCCAGGACTCTGGCCGCCGGGGAAGGGAGAACAGTTGGGGGCGTGGACGACGTGGGGCGCCCACCGTGTCCGCGACGGCTGCCTTCGGAGGTGGGCGAACCGGGGACCTCAGAGGGAGCAGGGCCCGGAGCCTTCTGAGCAAGAGGCGACTCGCAGGCCTCTTTGGCCGCCTTGGGCCTTGGGAGTTTTACTTGAACTGAAAGGCCCGGATCCCGGAGTTGGTAACGGCGCCTGTACCCCACAAGTTGGGGGTCAGGCAGGAAGGGCGTCCGACAGCGGTGAAGCAGCCCCCTCCACCACCACCACCACCACCACACACACACCTTCTCCTCGGAAGCTTCAAGGCAAGAGAAAAAGAGGCCTTAGGGAATTTTTTTTTTTTTTTATAATGGTGCTGTAGACTGGGATAGGAAGAGTGAGGGATGAAGAATGTCTGGTGCCTGGTTCTCTTTACTTTTTCACCAGGGCGCCCCTCTCGACCTTCCTCTGCAGCTCTCAGGTCCGTCCCTTCTGCATTCCTGCTGTCTTCACTCAGGTCTCCCCCTTATCGCCTTATTCTGGACTCCTGCGACGGCTTGTCCTGCCCGTCAGCCCCCTCCCTGCTGCTGGAGAAACGGCCTAAAATGCTGCCATCACCATATCCCCCACACCTGTGCCTCGGCCATACTCTTGCCCTCGTCTGTCCTGACCTCTCTCCTCCGGTTGCTGACATAAACCCTCTCTGCCCCTGCCTGCCTTCTCCGAGAGCACACTGCTTATTGCATAATACAAAGACAAAGGCCATGTCTATTCAACTCCTATGCTGTCCTCCACAGTTGCAGGGCCTCCCTGCCCCCATCCTGAAAGTGAATTCTTTTTTGTTTTGTTTTGTTTTGTTTTGTTTATAAAGTCTGCAGACATTGTGCATGTAAATTGAAGAGTCGGGGTGAGCAAAGTGCGGGTTGATTCTGGCTCCCCGGTGGACAGGCTGTGTGACCTTGGCCAAATGACTTAACGTCTCAGCACCGCTGTTTCTGCTCCTTAAAATAGGGAATAGCAGATCTGTTTTACAGGTAAACGGACTGTGTCTGTAGTGGGAACTGAAACTGTTCACCAAGTATTTCCTTGTTCTTTCCCTCCTGAGGGATGTGGTAGGAATCTACTACCCTATATGACTTACTTAGGCCAGTGGAATGAGAGCAGAAGTGGTATGCATTGCTTTCAGGGAGAAACTTCTAAGGGCCAATGGGCAATCCCAAAAGTTCAATCTTGGCAATCTTATATTGTCAACCATGGAAGTGCAGCAACAGAGCCTCCCCCAGCCAGTGTGGGGCTCTGTAAAGATGACTGAGCAAGCCCAACTAGCATGCATTAGAAAAGTAGTGTGAGCAGATTTTACACTTGTGTTGTGTTAAACCAGTGAGATTTGGGGGTTGTTTGTTACAACAGCATAACATTGCTTATTCTGGCTAACAGTGTTGTTCCCAAATGCTTGGGACTTCATCGGTATTTGTTGAATGAATAGCATTCTGACACTATTCTGATATTATTCTGATACTATTTTATGATAGTATCTGATACTAAATGACAATAATAAACCCTCTGCTGTAAGGTGGCTGTGATGGTCCCTATTTTCAATTAAGGACACCATCTCAGAAAAATTAAGTAATTTGCCTGAAATCGCACAGGTCATAAATAGCAAGGCCAGGGTTTAAACCCTACCTGTGCAGTTCCAAACCTCACGCTCTTCCTCTTCTACACTTGCCATGCCACATCTCCTTAAATGGGAAGGATGGAAACACCCAGTACAATGCCTGGCACACAGTCGTGCTCAAGCACTGGGAGTTCCTCTCCAGACTGAATTCCTATAGCATTTATAATTGGAGCCACACTTTAGCACAATATTATCGTGCATTGTGCTCAAGTGTTTTCACATAGATAAAGCATTTCCTCCGACAAGATCCCAGGCTGCTTGATTAAGAGCTTGAGCTCTGGCGTCAGACTGCCTGAGTTCAAATCCCTATTCTGCCACTAGTAACTGACCATCTTGGACAATTCTTTTCTCTCTCTATGCCCCCCTTCTCTCATCTTCAAAATGGCAGGTGGTATTAGGGGTGCTAACAATAATATGCGTGAGGGCTTGTGTGAGGATTAAGGGATACAATATATGCACTCAATAAATCATGGCTATTAATATCATACTTGTTTTTATTACACTTATTCTTTATCTTACATGACTCCTACTGGCATTGAGGCAATTATAAGTCATTTAATCATATTACTTACTTGATTAGACTCTGATTTCTGGCTTCATCCTCATTACGGGACAGAGGTAATAACATCTGAAGTTAGAAACATGACATCCACACTGCCCTACAGCTCATATTTACATAAGGCTCATTATTTGTTCTTTATTATACTTTTCTATTTTCAGAGCAATTTAAAAGAAAGTGTGCTTGCTTTCTTGAGAAATATTTGTTCAGAAAACAGTAATACCAGGATCCTTTATCCACCATGTACTGTCTGCCAGGACCTTTATATGTATTGCCTCTAATCACCATCATAAAACTGTAAGGTGGACGTTATGAGCCCCATTTGGCTCTTGAGAACAGGGAGCTCAAAGAGGTTAAGGTGCCTATGACCAGGAAGTAACTGCCCGAGTCAGAATTAGAACCCAAGTCTCTGACTCAGGTTTTGCTCTGACCCCTATTTTAAGCTGCCCGACATCCTAGTTCATATCAATGAATGCCTGTGCTTTGGTCGACAATCATTTTCCATTTTTCTAGATGAGGTTTTGGAAAACTACCTAAGATCGTGACTTTTTTTAAGAGAGAGAGAGCGTGCACGCATGTGTGTAAGTGGTGTGGGAGGGGCAGAGGGAGAGGGACAAAGAATCTTAAGCAGGCTCCACACCCAGCACAGAGCCCAATTCAGGACTCAATCCCAGGACCCTGAGATCATGACCTGAGTAGAACGAAACTAAGAGATGCTTAACTGACAGTCACCAAGACGCCCCAGATTGTGTCATTTCTAACGTAAGTATATTGTCTGCTAGACATCTTACACTAAAGAACCACCTGAGAAGGTACGTATTCTTCACTGTGGCAGAAGACTGCTAGCTAACCTCCGAATAGCCATGCCTGTCTTTCCGCAGGGGAGCTGACAGACAGCTGCTCAGCTGGGGATATATTTCCCAGCCTCCCTTGCCTCCAAGCCTGGCCACATGACTAGTTCTCTCCAATGAAATATGAGCCAAATGATGTTCACTTCTTCCTAGGCCAGGGTGTTTAAAAATTGCCTACCAGGAAACCGAGGCCTCCAAGGCACCGGAGGATGGTGGAGCCACTAGATAAAAGAAGCTCGTGCCCCTGAATCTCATTGAGGAATAAAGCCACCCTCGGGGCAGGACATTGGACTGGCCCATGAGTGAGAAATAACCTTCTATGAAGTCCCTGAAATTAGAGGGTTTATTTGTTACAACAGCTAATACTGCCCTAATACATACAGCTTACACTAAGTCTGTATTTACGTAGGAAAAGCAAAATGGAAGACGATCACAACCATCTGAAGAGTTAGAACCAAAAATGCCACGTGTATGTTTTCTGTCTACTTGCTGACTTAAGGAGAAAGCAAATTATTTCGGGCCAGAATTTTTCTTTTAGTTTTTCCTGGATTACGTGTATCAGAGATCAAAACAGAAAGCTATGTTTCTTCCCCTGCTGAGCAGCTAGAGAAACAGAAGGGTGGTTAAGAGCCTAGTTTCCAGAATCAAAACCAGCTCAGTTCAAATCCTGGCTCTACCACATTCAAGGTGTGCGATCTTGGGCGACTTGGTCTTTTTCTCTGTTGTCT